CAAAAATATAGTAGATTGGAGTAATAAAATAAACACATCCCATCTCCTCCATCGCTCGTAGCCATCCACTACAATAAAATAAACGTTTTCAGTGCTAAAGGTGAATTAGTCAAAGTTTCATAAGCTTCTACTTAGAGTTGTTATTACATTACACAGATATAAACTTTAAAAAGGTATTCATGAGATATGTCCATTCATTAAGTAGGTATCGAGCATTTCCTTATGGTTTCCCAGGGTTTAATTGGTATGGCATACTTTGGCTAAACATGTGGTTTCTCTGATGGAAAAAGGGAATACATGTTTGATTCTTGTCGAGAGGCTTATTTTTAGCTAGTAAGAACTTTTTGATTTCAAGGATTCACTTTTTAAAATAACAGGTATGTCAATTCAAATGTGTATCTGATATAGATAATATTTATAGAAATAACAAATAATGTCAGACGAAAAACAAAATCCATTTAAAAATTATGTCAATATACAAAAATTAACATCTAAACAATCTTTCACAATCCTTTTCTTATATCCACCAGATTTTATTTTAACCCATAACCTATTTTGTAACAAAAAATACCCAAAAAAAGTTATAAGTTATAACAGCAATCCAGTGGCAAACTGGGTTTAAAAATATTCATTGCCAGGAAACTTAGCGGGCTCACCCACAACTACAATGCTCTTATTTAATTTTCATAATAAATAAATATTTAAAAAAAAATCCATATGGAAAAAAGGGTACAATTAAAATTTTTGTGGAAAAAGATGTGTATTTCTTATTTAATTACAGTGTACATGTATTGTACATATTACTGACAGTAGATACCAAATGTAAATAGAGAATCTTATAAATGAATTTTACACCTATATTTTTTTTTAAGTAATTGTTTGATATTTTTAAATAGTTTACTGCATGATTTACACATTAAGACATAGTTCAAAAGCCCAATATAGCATTGCATGCAGTTTACTATATTAAGTGCAATTGTTTGTGCTTACAATTGTGTGAAACTGTCAATAATTGCTTCTGCATCCAATCCATCTAACAATTCCTTTTCAATAGATAGCAACATGTATGATTCCAAATTCTCAGGCATTGAATTTTTTAACATTGCATTTATTATCTTTAGCTTTGAAAATGTTCTTTCACAATGGACTTGAGTCATTGATTGTGTGCAGATGACTTTATAAAGTTCTTATTCATTTTTATTACTTAAACAGTTATCTGTATTTGTTTCTTTATTGCATTTTTATTTGATATAGGGGGCCTACTCCATCAAGGTCCAACTTGCCATAGGGCAAGCTGACACCTTGGTCAGTCCACCACTGCAGCAACCTGATGATATAAGCGCAAAAGATTAAATGTTACAGTATTAGAAAATTAAGTTTTTGTAGGCAAGTATCCAAAATACAGCCAACCTTAATTCAGACATTTTTTTTCAAACTAAAATATGCATTTTGTTAACATTAATGTATTTGATATGCTGATATTACCAGGCAACATTAAACTTGTGAGGAAAAAAAAAAGATGAAGTCATCTGAATAAATATCCAAGCCAAATTTATAGCTTATCACCAAAAGCAAGCTAAAAATTAAAAGTATACTAATAAAAAAAAGTAAACTGAGTACTGAGCTCCAAGTAAGTTTCTCTGGAATTAATGGCATTTCTTAGTCAAGAAAATTATCCATCTTGTTTGATTTAACATGAAATTGGAATGTATTGTCAAACCTTAAGAATCATTCACATACTCAATATGGTTTAAGCTCTTCTTTGTATACTTCAGATCTGTTTAGATGTATTTTTTGAAGAGAAAGACAAAAAATAAAGAAACAGAAAGTAACATCCTTGAGAAGAGGAAAGAAAAAGAAAGTAACATACTTGAGGTAGGCAAAAAAAAAAAGTAACTTCCTTGACAGATGGGCGGGGGGAGTGCAGGAAGAAAAATTTTGTTTAGGTTTCAGTATTCTTGCATGAATCTAATCAATGTGAAATGAACAATGTTTAACCTTCATGCCAGCAAAAAAAAAAAAAAAAAAAAAAGTGTCAAAAAGACAATTATTCCCTTGAGACAGCTATTACTGTATACATTTTGATTCCCATGGCAATGTTTGTTTAAAAAAGTGATGATTAGAATTTTAATAAAACCAGAACACATGAAAGTAGATTTATACCTTTCCTTTATTCTTGTGAAGGAACAACAAATATATTAAACACTATTAGATTGCTTATTTACAAGATTATAAAATTATCCTAACCAATTATAATGAAATACTTATTTATTTACCATTTTACAAATAAATAAATAGGAAAAACAAATTTTTATTCATAAATTTATAAAAATGTTACAGTAATAAAATTTAAATAACTGCATAATGACAAGTAAATGTAATTATAAATTTTGAAAAAAAAATAAATAAATAAATAAATTTTTGGGGCATTTTTCATTTGCACTTGGTACATAAATTCACTAAAATAAGTTCAGAGCATTTTTTCCTCTTACATATTTTGATAATTTTGTAATTTTTGAATAAAAGTATTTCTTTTATTTTATATTTTTATAATCTTGTAAATAAACATTGCCAAGAGATCCAAAATTAACAGCAATGTCAAAGGAATAGCTGCTCTTTTGATGCAGCATTTTTTGCAGGCACAAAGGTTAGGCATTACCATGAAATGTATATCAAAAACCATAGTCCACAATATAGAGAACAAAATCCAGACAAATATTTTGAACCTTATTTTTAAATCATTGTTAATATCTTATAGAGCTATTAGTTAATATTCTTTTATGTCATCAATATATATATAAGTGTGCATGTGATAAAATATTTTTGAAATTTGAATAATTTCTCATAATTCATTGAGTCTAGAACAAGAATCCCCAACATAATGCAGAAAGCACTGAACACCCTTTTCCTCCTTTTTTAGGACTCATCAGTAGTGCACATCCACTACCTAGAATTGAACTTGGACCATTATGATACAATGCAAGCATTATACCATGGCTGTCTTCCTGATATTTTATGGCAAAAGATATAGTTGATTGAATGACTACAAGATATCTCTAAAGTCATATTGATACATCAGAGTATGACCAAATAGAGTACAGAAGTGAAAGAGTCTTATCCAACATATAGATGCCTTCTTATATTTATACACTTCAAGCAGGGTCAACATCTTTAGTTTAGCACACAAGATGCAAAATATCAGGTTTAAGAATGTCATTGAACAATATCTTAATATTTTGGAACCAAATTTCTGAATGCCATTCTTCATCTTTATATGGAGTCAATTCTTGCGAAAGTGTGCCTCTCGTTCTGTCTATCAGTGACAGAAATGAAGTTAAAGAGAGATTAAGAATTGGAGTAATATCAGTTAGGGGAATTTGAACAAAGTTTTTTTTTCACTGTTTCAACAACTCTAAGATAAATTATATACAATTAATAAGACATTAGATATTATCTCAATTTTAAAAATAAAAAAACAAAATTTGTATATATAAAACAAGAGAATAAATCCTGCAATGAATTATAATTTTATAAAACCTTTCTACATTAGCTGCAAGTTTTTAAATTAATCACATTTAAAATATGTCCTAGTTTAAATAGCTTTTAACCTCTTTGTTGGCTAACAATCTAGAATTTATAAAAAAAAAAAAAAAGTTAGATATGGAGAAATGCCTTGAGATTTTATCTTAATCAGTCTCCAAAAGATACTGTGTATGTTTTCAAACAATGTTACATAACTTCTTTCATACAAAAATGAAACTAAAAAAAATCATGCCCAACTTTCACGTTGACTTGCATTTGATAAAACAAACTCGATAAAAGACCTAAACTGTCAGGCTCAATCAATCAACATCATGAGCATGCAATGATAGATAATGAATTCAGTATGAGAAAGATCAGAATCATAATATTGGGGAGATCGGCACTAAATATAAGAGCGCTCGCTTTCAAACATATCCACAAGACTCTTCAATATAATGCTGGATCTAACTAGAGGTAGAAACTGTACATTTCAAAACAGGTCTTCTTTGGCAAACCACATTTTCTAAAACCAAGGAAGGGCAGAGGAAAGCTTTTAGCAAGTTCTGTCAAACTCCACTGACCACTCCCAGCCATTAGCACAACACAATCATTATACGCCTGTTATTTTTCTTATCCAAGTGCAGTGACTTATCAGACCAGTCAATCAGGTTTCACACATATTTTAGGTCAATCATTTTTTGTGTTCTGATAAAAAAAAAAAAGAAAAAAGAAAAAAAAAAGAAAAAAGAAAAGAAACTTTCCAAAAACAAGCACTTCAAACTTACTTTGCTCTTTTTGGTTTCTTCATACTTGACAACATTACCAAATACAATAAACAAAGCTGCTTTAAAATAATTAAGTCAATTTAAGGAAAAGAACATTGTCTTCTAGTTACAGGAAACAGATGGTATTTTATTATTATCATCATCATATATTATTTTTTTTATTATTATCATCTTGATTAGTTATTATCTTTCATTATCATCATCATTGTTTTTTAGCACCATTATTACTTATTATCTATTGTTATTATCTATCATTATCCATTGCCGTTTTATGACTATTATCATTATCCCCATCATTTATAGATACATAATTGTATAAGCTGCAATTACTTACATTCATAATGTTCTAAAAAAAATGATGCAAATAGACATCAAAATATTAACAAAATCAAATAGCATTTGTATATGTACATTACAAGAGATTGATTCATTCATTTACTATGGTTTATCAGCTCTTTTCAGGTTATTTAAAGCCAGAATATATTTTTAGATTGTAAGAACTTTTTTGAGATAATGGTTTACTGATACAAGTCTTACTAATTAACCCATAGTTGGGAGTAAAAGAGGTGCATTCATATCTTTTCCTAAGGGTATTTGTGCACAAGTGAATATAATGAACCCAACTGGAATTGGAACTTAGCTCTTCAATTAACAATTCTGAGCCATTATCCATTACACCATATGCAAGCTTACATACAGCACCTTGTATTCCCAAGTGATCATCCATAAAAGTATTGACCAGGCTTGATGTTGCTTAACTTTGGTGGTCGTATGTGAACTAGTGTTTCAATGTGATGTGGCCATTATAAGAGTACCGTTTTATTTAATTCATTAAAAATAAAATTTAAAAAATATGTAACAGTATAATGGAGATTTCTACCTGGAATAAGGTGTGTAGAAACAAATGAAGGTATTGAATATAATAGTTCAAGAGAAAAAAAAAGAAAAAAAGAGATTCTGAAACCAAGAAAAAGGATTCCAGAAACAAGATGAGCTTAAAGAAAAAGTATTTTTTTTAAGAGTCAAAATAGAGCAAAAAGCAAAAACCAACAAAGGCAGATTTGTTAAAAACCCTCAAAATATATTTTTTTCTTTTTCATTCTATCAAAGTCAGAACTGAAACTTTAGCAATAGTAACTAAAAGAATATCAAGATTTTCTATGAAGCCAGTCATTTCTTTTGTCGTATTACCTGGCATTCTTTGCCGGGGTGTACGTCACTGGCAGCTTTCTCTCGTCTACCTCGAGTCCTCCGTGCTTTTATCTTCTCTTGTTCTTGAATTATTTCAGCCAGCCGAGCATCCTGGGTTTCAATTTCACGTAATTTTCTTTGGTCAACAATCGCCTTAGTTCGCTGGGAAAAGCAAATTTTGAAATCAATAATTTCCAGGTTTGAAAAAAAAAAGTATTACCCAAGAAGTCAAGAATCAGCTCTATAAACAGACAAACACAAAACTTCTAAGTTACTAGATACTGAATTGGCACCAATGTTATGAAGTCAAAGGTCCAACCGCCTTTTAAAAATTTACCTTTAATAATTCAGGAAAATGCCATGTGAAGAGATATATAAAAAATATTTTTAATTAAAAAAAAAAAAAAAAAAAAAAAAAATTAAAAAAAGAAAAAAAATCTCATAATTTCAAATTATTCGATTTGATTTTCCAATTAATAGTAAAATATATAAAAATAAATAAAAGAAAAAAAAAAAAAAAAACTTTAAAAAAATCATCATGAGGGAGCAGAAAATTTTCCAGGTCAAACTGCTTCCCAAAAATCAGTGTTTAAATGTTTGGTCATTGAAATACTCAGGGTACATGAGCAAGTGGTTAGAACATTTACTTTCTGACCCTGAGACCCAGATTTGAATTTTGCCAGAGTCGATCTGCCAGGGAGGTGATTTCCTGATATTGACCTTTTGGAAAGTGCCTGAAAACCACACCATGGGTTGATCCAAGCCTTGTGAATTAAATTGTGAAGATAGAACTGTTCAGAAGATGCCAATGGTTGTGCTAGTATGTAAGTCACAAGTCATCATGACTAAGGGTTTGAGCAGACTGGGCCTTGTTAAAAAAAAAAAAAAAAAAAAAAAAAAAAAAAAAAAAATCAATCCCACCAGATTAAGCTCACACTCCCAGAACCTCTAATGTCTGCTCAACAGCATAAACTACAAGTAGGTTCTATGGACTGAGCAGGTGTCTGCAACAGAGATTGGCATGATCAGAAACAAGTATTAGCTGGCCATTGAAATACTGATTTTGGGAAGTTGATCAGGCCAAGAAATTTTTTCACCATCCTTTGTTATATGCAACAATTATAAACAATTTTTTTTTTTTTTTTTTACTTACTTGCTGTCTTTTAGATTGTACTTTTCCCCAAAGACATGAATTATATCTTGTTAATTAAATTTGCTTATATTTATAGCGTCTAAATTTTTTATTTTGAGAGAAAATAATTTTACAGTATTGTTATAATCTAAAATCAATGTAGCAGCCTATTTGTTGTTATGTATTTTATTAAATAGAGAATTTATTACTAAGGATTAAAAGCTTTTCTCCAGGGGTGACCATGTCAACACAGTTGGTAATTTTATGGAATAGAAGAACTTTAGGAATTTTAATTTATCCAATGACATTCATATAAAATGAACCAACAATTTGCAAAAAAAAAAAAAAAGGTTTCTATTTACATGATTATATCTTGTACACAAAAAAGCTACCTTACAAGATATAAATTCCCTAAGCAATATATAGTACCAGGCAAAAGTCTTTGCCCACTTTATACTCTTAATTTCTAATAAATACCAGCTTATAAGTCATATCATGTTTTCTACAAATGAAAGACTGGACCTATTAGAGTCATTTCCATACCTAATTATCATATTTTGTACCAGTGGTTCTGAATGAGAAGAATGAGAAATGTCTGAAATGTTTTTGGTTACCTGACCTTTTGAGGTTTTCTCTTTTTGGTGCCGTTACAAAAAAATATTCAAAACTGCTATTATACAAATATTTTTTTTTGCAAGGGCACTAATTTCTTCTACATTTTCGGTAAAATAGATACTAAGGTTATTTTGTGATTCCTGGTAAAATAGACACTAAAGATATTTTGCTGGTAAATATAGTGTTTTAGAACTAAGAATATATTATATCTAATATCGTCAGCTGAAGTGTATTAGCAAGAGAACCATGACCAAATGCAAGTTTGGGATTTGCAGAGACTTATGCCTGAAGTACTTAAAATATTCAGAGACTTCTATATTTCTCTTAATAAATGATTTTAATTTGTTTTAATAAGTGATGGTTGAAAATAATTTGTCTTAACAATTGATGGTGAAAATATATAAACTTCTGTATTAGATTTGTGTGCTATTTTTAGCATTACCTATTTTCATAATAAAGTATTTACCAGCAAAATAGTCTGGAGCTCTATTTTACCAAGACTGGCAAAATGGCCTCTTATTAAATAAAACCCATTTGAAGGTAAGATTAAGAGTTAAGGACCAAGGGATGCAGATGCTTGGAATAAGATTACATTCAGTAATGAAAGTAGAATGGAACTGCATTCTAATAAGTGACGATTTGTCAGAAAGCTCAAAGGAAAGTGAACAGACTCATGTTATACAATGGAAACAATGAAGTTTTTAAGAGTAAGAGTCTGATGCTTTGAGGATACAGAAGTGATGGTTCAAGAAAGTTAGTTAGAATTGACAGTAGCTTGAATAGTACCAAATACATCCAGTTGCTGAAGGATCATTTGATACCAGATATCAATAAAGGGGAATTTTTTTAGTATAATTCAGCTTCATGTTACAGACTGCATGCAATACAAAAGATAAAGGTATAATCATGTTGAAAGATTGGTCAGCTCAGAACCCTAACTTAAAAAGCACTGGACAGAAATAAAGAGAAAAGTTTATCAGAAGAACCCATGCAATCTTGAAAAGCTTTTAAAGTTCAGCCACACAGAATGACATCTATCTGTGAGGATGGTGAATGATTTGTACACATCTCTACCTAGGTGCAGTGAAGCATTATTGAAGCTAAGGTATGGCAGTGAATACTGGATAATCTTCTATTTGTCATTTATGAGGAGATTTTTCTGCATTCACTACCAGTCCTCCTATATGGCAGTAAATGCTGGACAATGTCCTCACAGATGAAGAAGAGATGAATCAACAGAAATATGGTTCTACAGAAGGATGCTGAGGAGACCATGGACTGAACATGTTTTAAAGAAAAAAAAAAAAGACATTTATACTTAACATTAGGAAGAGATAGCTGAAATTTCTAGGGGACATAATGAGGAAAAAGAGTGGAACAAGATTTAAGAAAGAAAAAAAAGAGTTACAAAGGACAGGAAATTATGGAGTCATGATTGCCAACATCCTGAAGGGACATGGCACATAGAACATTTTCAAATGAACATTATGTAATATTCATTATAGACATTTCTTGTTTTAAAACATTGTATCTGGTATGGTTTACATGAAGTAACTGAAGGCTTTTACATGGCTATTGTTTTCAAAAACCCCTGAAAACCCCCTACTATAAAATATAATGATTAGGTGTGGAAATGACTTCAATGAGGCCAATGTTTCATTTGCAGAAAATGTGATGCAAAAGATCTACTATTACAAATTAACAATAGTTTAAAATGGTCAAAGAAGTTTATATTATAACTGAAACTACCAAAATAGACTATTTCTCTATGAATAATACCTACATAAGTAATAGCTATTATTGTAAATGTTTTGATAAATGTTTGAAGAAATGATATGCCCTGCAAATATTGAAAACTGCATAAGTAGGTAACTTTATTAATAGTCACTATAAATGAACAAACATTTTCCTAAGTGTAACAAAATATTAACTTATTGTGTCAGAATTATTTCGCTTTAAAAGAAATTGGTTAAAACCAAAATGGAGGTAAGCCGTCCTTCAACTAACAAGAATTTGAAAGAATTTCACTAAGGAAGGTAATAATGGATGAAATACATTTACAGTTGCGATAAAAAAAATATTCAGCCTAATTCTTTTCAATGAAAAGAATGGATTTTTACCAATAAAAAAAAAAATTGACTAAATTGTATGGTAATATCTTAGGTTACCTGAAAAGTTCATGCCGATTTTTAGTTGTTGATGTTCCAGCACATTAGAACACAAATTTATCAACAGATATTATATGCTTACATTTTTGATTAGAGCATACTGTAAAACATTTCTTGAGAAATAAAGTCTAAAATTACTTAATTTGTGTCAATTTTGCATCCCTATGAAAATGGAAGATTATAAAATGCATTTTAGACACTGTGTTTTTTTGTTTTTTTTATTACCATAAAGGCAAAAATGCTTCACAAGCAACAAAAAATATATATCCTGTGTATGGTGAAGGTGCTTTAGCTAACAGAACTGTACAGAAGTGGTTTGCTAAGTTTAGTGTTGGTAACTGTAACCTTATTGATGAAGAAATGCTCAGACCCCCACTACAGATGACAAACAAATCAAGACATTGATTGAGAATAAGCCATATTACACAATGTGGAAATTGGCAGAAACACTAAATTTATCAAAATCCACCATCCATGAGCACTTAGTGAAGCTTGGGTATTCAAATCACTATGATGCTTGGATACCACATGATCTGAGTGAAAAAAAAAATCTTTTGGCTCACATTTCATCTGTGATTTACTGTACAAATGCAATGAAAATGCATCCTTTTTGAAACAAATTGATGAGAAATGGATTGTTTTCTACAATGTTCAGCAAAAAAGATCCTGGGGTAATCGACATGAGCTAACTTTATCCACCTCAAAAGCAGGACTTCAGCTTAAGTCATGCTGTGCATCTGGTGGGGATTAGAAAGGATGCATGTACTATAAGCTCCTGATTCTGAAAAGTACTGCTTGCAACTGGATGAATTAAAAGGTAGCAATTCAAGAAAAATGCCCAGAATTGGCAAACAGGAAAGGTGTTTTCCATTAGGATAATGCCAGATCACATGTTCCTTTAGCAACCAGGCAAAAATTGTTGCAGCTTGGTTGGGATTTGTTACCCCACCTACCATATTCACCAGTCATTGCTCCTTTGGATTTTCATTTATTCAGGTTCTTGAAAAATAATCTCAATGGTAAAATTTTTAATTCTTTGGATGACATAAAAAAACCATCTTAATGAGTTCTTTGCCAAGAAACCACTGAAATTCTGGGAAGATGGAATCTAAGTTGAAGGAAAAATGGAGAAAGGTTGTGCAACAAAATGGTTAATATTTAGTTGAATAAACATGGCATAATTTTGTTTTGTGTTTTAATTTCCCTTAAAAATTGGTACAAACTTTCCGGACACCCCAGTATACTCC